AGGAACATGTTGTGATAATCTTATCAAGCATAGCTCATCAACGACAAGTTTTATTTATTTCAGTTAAATATAAATATGATGGGTATATGGTCTGTACCGACTCAGCTATAATTATTGAATGGCTATGCATGATAACATCGATTGTTTCCCAAATGTTAGCACTGATTCTATTATTTCATCTATGTATGTATGTATATATATATAATATATATATATATAAAAACAAATAGATAAAAGATAAATAATAATAATAACAGTGCTCAAATAGGAACATCTTGTAATAATCGTATCAAGCATAGCTCATCAACGACAAGTTAATTTATTTCAGTTAAATATAAATATGATGAGTATATAGTCTGTACCAACTCGGCTATAATTATTGAATGGCTATGCATGATAACATCGATTGCTTCTCAAATTTGAGCACTGATTCTATTATTTACCTATGTAAACATGTATATGTGTATACAATGTATATATAATGTATATATATATAATTTAATGTTATATATAATATATATATATATATGTCATGTATATATAAACTATACATAGGCCTATCTCAAATTGCCTGAGTAACTAATTCAAAATAAGCAAAAAAAAAAAGAAACTTACATGGCCCGAATGCGGCTTCACATTCCATTGCTCTTACTTTAGAGATCATAAGGAATGATAGAATAGTCGCCAACAAACACACCGACGCCCTCATTGTTATGGAATCTGAAGAGATTAACTAATGAAAATAATGGTTTGATTAATACAAATAATTCTACTATTGCTGCTACTATTCTCTCCCCCTTTTTTGTCTACAATTATGTACTTAAAATTTGAAAATGATAATGATGATTTAATTAATACAAATAATTCTACTAGTTCTACTACTACTTTATTCTATCCTTTTTTGTACTTAGAATTTGTAATTCAGCCTCTGGTTGGTGTTTTATATCTTTGATTTATGTTTTGGATTGAACAATATTCATTCATTCATTTACTCTTTTATTTCGGAATCAATAATTTGTCCATGTATACATAAACAGTATTTTTTCAACTACAGTGGACACTAGATTGCTTTCACTGTACAGATTTTACATATGAAGCCATATACAGATTTCCTAAGAAATTCATAAAAAGAGAGAATTCTACTCTCTACAAACATAGTGCTGGCACTACAATGTCTAGGCTTTTGCAAGAGCATCCTGAGGCATTATTGTAGCAAAAACTTTAAGAGATCACAAGGTACTCAAGATTATAGTTACACCATAATTTTGCAAATTAAAAATTAACAAAGTATGTTCTAAACAAGTGACACTTAACTTCAAAATAATAATGATAATAATAATATCCATTTCCTGTTATTACGCAATAATATCATAAGTGTGTCAAATCCCGATTATCTTCACTAATGTACCATACTGTAAATGAATTACAGTCATTTATGAAGAATGCTTTGCGTTCAATGTATAATAACAGTTTTATGACAAATCCAGATGTTTTGTATTAAACAGTTGCTCGGTAATCCATGAATTTATATATGTATATATTTTATTAAACATATGGAGCCTCATTCACTTATTAACAAAAGTTTTTATGACAAGAAAATAAACTAATGTGTTGATTCTATTATTTCACCTATGTATGTATGTATATATATATAATATATATATATATAAACAAATAGATAAAAGATAAATAATAATAATAACAGTGCTCAAATAGGAACATCTTGTAATAATCGTATCAAGCATAGCTCATCAACGACAAGTTAATTTATTTCAGTTAAATATAAATATGATGGGTATATAGTCTGTACCAACTCGGCTATAATTATTGAATGGCTACCGTATGCCTGATAACATCGATTGCTTCTCAAATTTGAGCACTGATTCTATTATTTAGCTATGTAAACATGTATATGTGTATACAATGTATATATAATGTATATATATATATAATTTAATGTTATATATAATATATATATATATATGTCATGTACATATAAACTATACATAGGCCTATCTCAAGTTGCCTGAGTAACTAATTCATGATAAGCAAAAAAAAAAGAAAGAAAGAAAAAAAAAGAAACTTACATGGCCCGAATGCGGCTTCACATTCCATTGCTCTTACTTTAGAGATCATAAGGAATGATAGAATAGTCGCCAGCAGACACACCGACGCCCTCATTGTTATGGAATCTGAAGAGATTAACTAATGAAAATAATGGTTTGATTAATACAAATAATTCTACTATTGCTGCTACTATTCTCTCCCCGTTTTTTGTCTACAATTATGTACTTAAAATTTGAAAATGATAATGATGATTTAATTAATACAAATAATTCTACTAGTTCTACTACTACTCTATTCTCTCCTTTTTTGTACTTAGAATTTGTAATTCAGCCTCTGGTTGGTGTTTTATATCTTTGATCTATGTTTTGGATTGAACAATATTCATTCATTCATTTACTCTTTTATTTCGGAATCAATAATTTGTCCATATATACATAAACAGTATTTTTTCAACTACAGTGGACACTAGATTGCTTTTACTGTACTGATTTTACACATGAAGCCATATACAGATTTCCTAAGAAATTCATAAAAAGAGAGAATTCTACTCTCTACAAACATAGTGCTGGCACTACAATGTCTAGGCTTTTGCAAGAGCATCCTGAGGCATTATTGTAGCAAAAACTTTAAGAGATCACAAGGTACTCAAGATTATAGTTACACCATAATTTTGCAAATTAAAAATTAACAAAGTATGTTCTAAACAAGTGACACTTAACTTCAAAATAATAATGATAATAATAATATCCATCTCCTGTTATTACGCAATAATATCATAAGTGTGTCAAATCCCGATTATCTTCACTAATGTACCATACTGTAAATGAATTACAGTCATTTATGAAGAATGCTTTGCGTTCAATGTATAATAACAGTTTTATGACAAATCCAGATGTTTTGTATTAAACAGTTGCTCGGTAATCCATGAATTTATATATGTATATATTTTATTAAACATATGGAGCCTCATTCACTTATTAACAAAAGTTTTTATGACAAGAAAATAAACTAATGTGTTATGGAAACACAAATAGATTTGAAAATACGAGTTGAGAAATACGGCGCCTTGTGCATTGGAAGTATCAAATGGACCATGTCTTCTCATGTTCTTCAAACTCATAAATTATGAAAAGATGATGACATGATGACTATAAATGATGCAAAAGATGATGGTGATACGAATGATAATGAGGGTACCTAATGGAGATAAGAATGATGATGTTGATTATGACGGTGATAATGATACGCCGATCACAATGGGTAGATGATGATACGACGATGTGAATGGGTGTAACGAAGATGATGATACGACGCTGTGACGAAGATGAACGGTGGGCATAAAAATATAACATTCAGACTGTCTCTTATACACATCTAGATGTGTATAAGAGACCTGGTCGGGGAACAGCACACTTTATAAAGTTGAAAGGCACTCGTCCAATCATGTTGGTTTTTAATAAAACAAAACGAATTTCCCTGAGTCACGAACATTTTACGACAGCTCTAAGAGATATATTTTTTATAATTACACTTACCAACATGAAACGGCGGTATACAATCATTAAGCCTGGTTAAAGTAATTGTATTTCAATCAAATGTAAGATGGTTTATTTCAAATGTTCCCTAATGAAAATTAGGTAACATCCCTAAGATATATTTGGTTGAAATAAAAGAAGAACGACCAAACACAAGAGAAAATACAGGGACACATGCTTTGCCTAATTTATGCATACAGAACTTGAATGCCTTATAGGATGCCCATACCACAGAAGTTCTGATTGAAACAGTACATTTTTGTATCATATTCCCTACCTAATGCCCAACCATCGTTGCAATGACTGGAGATAAGCTCTGAAACGACGTATAGTTGACTAGGACTGTGGTACCGACATTCATTAACATAATAATGACCCTACCTCAATATTAACCAACATGGTTAGGCCTATACTGAATGAGGTTTTAAAGGAAGGGGAACTTCGTGACCCCTTTAGTGATATTGATAACAAAGGTGATACCGCGGATTCATGAATTGATGAGATGAAGATGATGATGACAACGTTATATATGATTGAGTTTGCGTTTATAAATACAAAATCAACACTTGTTTACTTGCATAGTTATTCCTATGAATTGTCTATTACAATAATGCGTGAGTTGGACATTATTGTGCAATGGTTAATCAATTAGTAATATTGAAGCAGCAGGACCTAATAACCTATCTAGAGAACAAATCAAATCAAACGTTTTACGGTAATCATGGTAGTGCACCTTAAAGGGTTAGCATCTTAGTTTTATACGAAAATATACAAATATACAGAGACCCACATAATAAACCAGATCGCTTGTGTTTTAAATATAGCATAAATTGGTTGGCGAATTACAAAGCAATATTAAAATCTGTACTTTGTTTTAACAGACTTCACATGATGTTTGCGTACATTTTTCACTGATTTTACATTCTTATAAGTTAATGTTTTAATTTTCTGTTCAAAATTATTAATAACATGATCAAGATTATACCCCGAATTGTTATTGTGTCTGTTATTTTGGAGATATTTGTTTTTGTGTCTGTTATTTTCGAGATATTTATTGTACATAAATTATCCACCAGTAAAAAAACTGAATGCAACAAATTTTACAAAACAGAAGGTAAACAACATTAACCAATCTAGAATTCAATCAATCAATCAATCGAAATAACATTGATAGCGCCAAATTCCATCACATGAAGTGATGTTCGGTGGCGCTAAATAACGATGATAAAATTTCACAAAATGGTTAATCTCACAAATAAGTTTAAATGTATTTTGCTTCAATAAAATGATAATAATAATAATAATTGTAGTATCAGTGTTGTCGATTGCTGTTGTTGTGATGGAAATGCTTTACATAAAAAGTATGAATTTAGTTTCGTTTTGAAAATGGAAATATTTATGGATTTAAAAAAAAAGTTAACAATACAAAAAGCAATGAAAGATGTGTCTTATATCCAATATATGAATTTCAAGACTTTATTAAAGTCCGAATAGTCAATTTACTGCGTCACTTATTACCTATTGTAGATTATAAGTTATATACAGCTTCATACCTAGATTGTTCAAGTACACACAAAAACTCATTTTGATTGTGTAACAACCTTCTTAATGAAACAGGTATTGTGTATACACAGTGGTGGATATACTGTATATAATTGATTTCTATCTCACATTTTATTCGATGAGCCTTTCTAAGTTAAGCAATACTAGACCTAATGAACACAATAGATTATCAAATACTACATACAGCAAATTTTGTAGTTGATTAAATTATAAAAAGTCAATCATATATGTACATAAAACATCAATATTATATGTACATAAACTATATTATTTTATATATTAAATATAATATACGAAACAAATTTGTAGTGGAATAAATGTATGACGTTTATGTTTTTTGCCAATAGTCAATATTGTTATAAAAATAATGACAATTACACAAATCAAATACACATTTTGCAAGTACAGTATAGTTATATATATATATATATATATATATATATATATTTATACCTATTATAATTAGCATAATATCAAATATCCTTGACGATCGTAACTTACCTGGAAGTTTAAACAAACAAAAAAGAGGATGATCTCTAAAGAACACAACAAGAGTATGCGGAGTAATTTGCTAATTGTGCGTTTTTATACGCGCAACCTTTCTCTCAGTAGTGATGTCATTTTTGTAACAAATATTCATAGGATTGTCGTCAGTAGTACATGAATAACCATTTAAAATGTAATTGTTGTTTGTAGAGGAATTCAAATTGGCTAGCTCCGCCCCTGGAGGGATCAAACCGCCGCAAATATGACAAGTACATCATTCCATCGAAAATTTGAGCCAAAACGTAAAATCTCGTATTGCCAAAGTAGTGACGAATTTAAAAAAAACATGTCAATTATTTAACTACGTTTAGAAAAT